GTTTCGTCGGAACGAAGTTACGGAAAATCAATTAACAAACGGAGACGTAACAATACTTTACACTTTGCAATTATGTCCTCATTAATGGTCAACAATAAATGTAAAATTTTATTGTCTGTTTTGTACAGAGCACCATCATGAATAACTTCAAGAAACATCTCTGCCTCACTACTTGGCTCCAAATCAAGAAGTTATTGCATGATTGTCCTTATTAGTAACAACCCTGATCTCATTATACAATTTCTCATTGACCTCATCTGTCTGATCAGGTAGCCTATAAAGATCGACAATTAAAATCTCTCTACTCTTGAAGCCCATGAACCTTAACCAATATACATTAATCTTCTAATCTACCATTTTCTGTCTTCAATACTAACAGGTTGCATTTTATCTCTTATATAAAGAAACATCCATCTCCTCTATTAAAAAAAATCTATCATTTCTAAATAACTTATAACCTGAAACTTCAAAATATTTCTTATACCAATATTCTCCAAAGCTAACCAACTTTCAATAATTACCATTACATCACAGTCTTCCACTTCAGCTAGAAATTTAACCTCATCTATATTTTTCCTACATAAGAATGATAACTAAACTTCTTACTGATCCTACTATGTTTAGCTTTAAATCTGATTGACTTATACTTAAAACTATTATTTAACTTGTGCTTTAAATTTTCCTTTTTCCAATCTCCTCATTGCTTTAGCTATCCTAGCAATTTGTTTATTTACCATTTCACAAGCTCTCTCACTACCATCTTAGTTTAGTTTAAACTAGCTTTAATGAATATAGTTAGAAGTTCCCCACACATCCTACTAAATGCCTAAGTGGAACCCATCTCTAGCATATAATTCAACCTTAACCACACAATTGTTCTTCTAAGTATATCCTCCATGATTTTTCATTTAAGCCTTGGATACTGCTAAGTAGTTCATTCCCCAACCCAGAAGGGTCATACGTCTGTTTCTATCCTTAAACCTCTGAAGAAGTTCTTTATACTTTTTAAGCAGCTCTTCTGATATATAATTTCCAACATCATTTGTTCCCACATGCACTAAAAAAAGTGTGTTCTTTGGTATAAGAAACTAAACTATCAGTACTCTCCATAATGTCCTGTACTTAATCACCTGGAAAGCAAATTCTAGTCATAACCTTTCTATGCTCTTTAGGACAGATAATTTCTCAGTAAATTACTAAGAAAGTTTCCAACATGCAAAAAATCTTGATCATCTCATTCTTCACTGCAAGTATCCAATAGTTCAACTTTTCATAGACTGGTATAGGAGTGCTAACTGAACCTGTCTTTTTCTACATCTTTAACTTTTTTTACTAACTTGCATCTTTGAAAACCCAGCATGCTTATTTTTCCCCTCCCACAAAACAGCCTTTACGTGAACTCTATCCAATTGCTAGCTTACTTCATTAATTTTATGCTTCTAATAGTGCGACCTTCCTTAATGCTATCCCCGACTTATCCTCAAGTAAGCATGCTCTAACAATGTATTGTACCATGTTTTTCTAAGCCTCCTGAAAGTTGTAATCAAGTCCACAAGTTTCAAGCATAAGCCACTCCTGGCACCTATCGGAACTTATAAATACCACCTCATTTACTCTTAAATTACCTCTAACTATATTGAAGTTGACTAGTCTTTATTCTCTATTTCCAATCCACTCATCCATTGAAGCTATTTTACAGTTTATAGATTAATCTGATACAAATCCTCTATTAACTAATAAGGATACTATTACTTACACAGTACACTACACTTTTAGTTACACACAACATAATTAATTGCAAGGTTAGATATCTTACTGATGTATTAAATTCTCTGCAACTACAAAATAATAGAAACAGTAATTTCAAATTTATAATAAATTCTCCTTACTTAACTAACATTTGTGATAATTTTAATCTAATACTTGGTAGCTTTAGTATCTTGTAAATTAGTACTACTATCTCAAAACAACGTTAAGTCTACATACTTAATATAAGCCTAATGTTGTAGCTTTAGGCCTAGCTCTACTTCCAGCAATAGAAAACTAACATTATCTAACCCTAACTAAAATACACTAAAACAACTGCTCTAAACTTTAATAATACCAAAATAGTATTTATCTTCTCCACAAAAACATTAAAATTTATATGTATTAATATTTCTAATTTTTCTGTCATAAAGCTGAAAAATACATCTGCTAATCTTCCAGCCAATAAAACATAACGTATTATTAAGCTTTCGGCAAATACTACATTTTCAGACAAACTATTCCTCACTCTTTCTAGTACAAAACAATTCTAAGCATTTCAGTTGACTTTCCTCTACCTCTGTACTGTATCACTTAAGATTTAAGACTCCTATAAGTATTTCCCTTGCTTTTAGTGTTTAAGTTAACAATTCTTTAAAATAGTTGTGTAAAAAAAATCTAGATCTTGGTTTCCATAGCTTATATTCTCCCTTTCCACAATATCAACTTATTCCCTACTTAACAAGAAATATTTTCTGAGTTTTGTGTTTTAATCCTAAGTGTACGATTTTACAACTGTCAAAACATAAGCACATTTTTCACATTCTTGAACTCGACCTTCACTCCACCAATCCAGTACCATGAAAAGACCTATCCTTCCTCCATATGGATTTAAGCCGCTTTTCATGAATGATAAAGAAAAATAACTAGCACACTTTGTTACTGGTAAAAATAATTTTCATGAGAAAAATAATAGAATTATAAAAAGGATATCTTCATTATGGTTATTAACATAATAAATGTTAATGGAAAAAGCAGCAAACAAAAACAATAAGTTACATAGAAAAACTTACCAATGATATAACATCGTAATAATGTGCATATAAAATTTAATTAATGAACAGTATTTGAAATGGTTGTTTTTTTGTTTATTACATTTGCTGCAAATTTCAATGAAAATGTTATCAAAATTTAGGCTTTGAAGTGAAAGTTTTCAATTCTTGATGACAATTAAAAAGAAGCCGAAATGTTGTTCCAACTTCTACAGCTTTTCACAACAGTATGTTTCCAATATCACACAACATAATTTATTCACACACACAGACTAAGCATGGAAAACCCTCTATCCCAGACCCTAGCCACTATCTCCCTAAGTAATATCAAACAACAAGCACATCTTTACACAAACCAATATACTTTGGGTTCAGTTCGAATTAAAATAAATAATTTCTACAACACTTAAACAACATCCACAAGGACATTAAATTTACTGTAGGAAATGAAAATAATTACACAATTAACTTTCTGAATATCACCAACACCCAGTCATCCCACACTTTCAGCAAAGAAGGTTAAAAAAAAAAGACACACAGTGAAAACTATGTTAATGGGCTTTCTAGTCATATAAAACACCAAAAACTAAGCACACTACAAAGTCTAATGAATTTAGCCAACACGCTTTATGCCAGTGATAATATTGATAAAGAAATTACATAATTAACCAAACGTCTTACAGGTCCTAACAAGTTCCCCATTATAACAGTTCACAAAATAATAAGGCAGTTTCATAACAGGATGAAACCCTGATCAACTCAACACCAGTGAAAACAATACACAATAAACAGCATAATAAAATAATCACTGGCAAAATTCCATTCATTGATAACTTGAGCAGTACCCTTAAAGAAAAATGGCAAAGATTAATACACAAATACAACATAAATATCCTCACAAGATTTGTGTTACCAAAGGAACAAAACAAATGTTAAGAAAACTATATGACAAACCTCCATAACCAGGAACCATATACAAAATACAATGTAACTGTTCTGATTTCTGTACAAGTGAAACTGGACATAAATTAAACACACGAGTAAAAGACAAAAAAAAAATACCTCGCATGTAAATTCCAATATGCAATCCAATCACTATACATTTTCAGAACACAACGTCTCTGTATTAAAACACAAATTCAACAAAAACAAAAGAAAAACAGCAGAAGCCTTACTAATTAAAATATATATGACCCAAAAATTAATAAACATCCAGAAATACCTTTTTACCCTTTTTGACTTATGCACACTATTGACCTACTCACATCTTTCATGAATTGTTTAATAATGGAACATTCTTCATTTTCAATTTTAAATGTGCTCACACATGCCATATCTATTATACTTTAGTTTTCATAATGATATTTCAATTTAATTGTTCTGTATTGTACTTGAAAATGATCACACTAATGGTCAGAATGTTTTAACAATGATTCTCACCATAGACTTGAAATAATCAAAAGTTGTAATAACAGGAAAACTAATTATGATTACTTAGATAAATGGAATAATTGAAAACATAATCAAAAACACAAATTTTGAGAATACATCAATTACTTTATGCAACACTAAATGATATAATCAATGCTCATAAGTAAACAAGGATATTGATTAATCAAATCGATTGCCAAGCTCTATTATTAAATGAAAAAAGGAACAGAAAATAATTAAAATCCAAGAAGCATCTTTACACAGATATGGGGCACCTGCCCCATTTGCCCTCCAAGTGAGCTAGCCCTTTGATTATCAGATCAGTTGGGTCACTAAATACAAAGCAGTATATGAAACAGAAGTCACATCAGTCATTTACAAGTTGTCAAGTGTTACTGTTATCTTTTTTTTTCTATTAAGTTATCTTAAAATATCAAAATGATTATGCTTTTCCAGCTTTGGTATTTAAACAATAAAATTTAACTTTGGGAAAATTGCAGGTTTCTTGCCCATTTAGTTTTAATTTGAAAAAATGCACTTCCATATAATTTCAACTCATTTTTTACCTTTAACCAATGAATGATTTAAGGACTTCAACTCGTTATTGTCTAAGCTACAGCCAACCTCTTTTGAAAACTGAATGAAGAATAAACTTGGTCTCCAAGTTTAATTCAAACCCATGTTAGAATTATTTACAATTTTATATTTCACTTTCCTCAAGGCAGGTTCAAAGGGCTCAAAAAACCCACTGCAAAATTTTAGGATGCAATTTTTTTATTTATGCCCCCTTCACATTTTGAACTTGAGCTGGCACTGTGTGTGTATACATATATATATACTCTGTGAATTAACATAAAAGTATGAATTATCTAAGTTTCATTTTGCCTCCAGTATAGGTTCAGCTATTGAATCAATCCAAATATTTCCAACCCTTAAAACTAAAAGATAAAAATCAGTTATTAGGAACTTTTCTACACAAACTGATGAAATTATTTTATGATAGTAAATGTAGTAGTTGATTTTACAAAAATATCTCACAAGCTACCAGAACTTTTAATAGAAGTTTGTAAGCCAACTGTTAAATACTGATAACTTGTGTTACTATTAGATATGGACAATCTAACTTCTGAAGGTAAAATAAAACTTTACTTCTTATATACTATATGATAAAATTCAGTACTATCTTTATTGTTTACATGTATATTACTTATTATTATTATTATTATTATTACTAAACAATTTTTCTTTAAATAAAACACCAAGTTTTAGATATAACAGAAGAAAATTTAAATAATTATGAGTATACTTTTGATTGGAATAACAGTAACAGTGTGGTGGGGAAAAAAAAGATCTCAGTGTTCTGGTTAATCAGTCTCCTAAGCTATTCAAGCAATGTGCTGTTGCTAGTGGTAGGGAAAATAGGATTTTATGGTTGTATATACAAAATACTGAAGTCTAAAGAGGTTATAATTTCACTGTATAGGTTGTTAGTTAGATCACATTTGGGCTCCTTATGTTATGAAGTACATTGAATTGATGAAAAGGGTTTAGAATCAGAGGGATGGAAAGACTGTCATATAAGGCCATGTTGAGATTTCTGAAATTGTTTTATCTTTAAAATTAAAAAACGAGTTAGAGGGGATCTAATCTTTTTTTTTTCATACTTAATGGTGAGAACGGTAGGACTAGGGAGCACAAACATAAATTTTGGTAGGGTAGGAGTAATCTTCAACAAATGCAGCTATAATTTTCTAACAGCGTAGTTGGCCCTGGGAATGGGTTACATTCAGATATGGTGGTTGCAGTTAATTTAAATAAACGATTGAGAAATATTTGAACGATGAGGCCTGACTTTGAGTGTTTTCTTTTTAAAGTTTACTTTAAGTTTAGTGGATGGGACAGCCTAGATCAGTAGATGGACCAAAGGTCCCTTGTTGTCTTTAATTATAAATTATATGTATTTAACTTTTAAGCATAAGTACGAATAACTAGTAATAGTATCATACTCTCGTCAAAAATAAATCAACGATTTACATCAACCTACTGCTACTCAGTGCTAGTAATCCCACTGTATACTTACCGTCGTTGTGGTAGAACCTTCTGTTCCATTTCCTACAGATAAAATATTGCTGGCTCCTGTAAACTGTATTGATTCTGGGGCAGTTTCATTCGTATACATATTTGAGAATATTTTATATTCGGTTTCTTAACACTATCGTGCTGATAAAGAATATCGAACGTTGTTGCTACGATGACAGAAAAATACGAAATCCGAACCTCTGGAGTGAAGTTGTAACAAATTGTTACACAGGTAATATAAAGTTTTGCACACTCGAATCAACCAACAAAAACAGGACTTGACAGGCTTAGATGAAATCAACGATCATCATCTGTGACAAATTGCACTTTATCTCACATTCAAGAGTCAGTGTTTCTTATAGTTATACTGTATAATAGCTTCTACCTGTGCCTTCTGAGAAATTCGTAGATTTAGATATTTGTCCTTTAAATACCCGAACTATTTTATTTAGACCCACAAACGTCCTATGAGTCATCTCATACTCACGAAACTCGAGGGAAGCCCTTTCGGTTTTCAACGGTAGTTTGGTTATACAATGGATGACATCATACCATAATGGCAGAATACCAGGAAGAAGTTTGACGCCACCCACTGTCACATGACTAAAATTACTACGAATGAGTGTGACGTATGTTTCTGATTTTCCACCAAAGCTTAATTTTTATTTTTTAATTCTATTTAACCATAAACGATAAATTATCTTTCTACTTAAACTACTAGATGTTCCTTTTGAAATTTAAAACTGAAGTAAATCTAAACCAAAAACTATATTATTTTCATTACATACAGAGTTCGGAAATTGTCGGTATGTGTATGACTTCCATATATGGAAAGCTCGATATTCACTGTACGTGCTTTGAAAACGATCCAATCCAAAAGCAACTTGATAAAATGTGTTTGTTGTGTAAGAAGAAATTTGGCAATAAAGTTAGAGGGGGGTAAAAAACGACCTTTACTCTCAAGATAATAATTTTAAAACTTTTTATTTCAGCCAGCGTACCACTCTTGCAGCTTCATCATGGCTAGTAGTATAAGAACTCTTTTATGTGAAAACAAACGTTAACTTAATAAACTGCTTTTGGTGTTCTACTATTCCAGACGTTCGTTCGTAACGTTTTTAAACAATGCTTAGAATATTATTGTTGTTTCACAATCGTTCTAATATCTAATATATATAAGCCTGTTGTCTTTTGATAACGCTCCGTTTGTCTGTGTCGCTTAGCAACAAAACTATAACCTGATATTGTTATCTTAAATCTAACCTATATAAAAGCCAGTGTGTGTCACGTCACGTCACGCTTGATTTCTCGAAATAGGAACAGTCATAAAAGCCAAAATGCATTTATCCAGATAGAATAGTTCGATTACTGCCTGCCCATTACGATTTTAATGACGGGGTGCAAGAAGGCCGTGAGGGGGTGGGTGCCGTAAAACCTTATATGTGTAGTGAGTGTTGGTATAATAAACCTAAAGTTAAGACGTAGTGTGGGATCACCTAAACTAGAGCCAAGTGCATAAAATGTATAATGCAAGTAAAAATATCGATTCAGTTTTAAACTTAAATCGTTTCTGAAATAAGCTTTTTCTGTTATGTCACCAAAGTTTTTTAAAACAAAAACAAACCTCTTTAATCAAGGGAGACACTAAATTAAGAAATCACCAAATATTTTTCCAGTTTTGTTGTCTATACATTTCATTTTATACTTTCAGTACATAGACTAACAGCATTATTAGGTTATACTTTTGTTGCTAAGTGACTTGACATAGAAGCCTTTGTTGGAACATACTGGTACCAAAACGCACTGGCTTTTCTAAATATTAGAAGTAGTTAATCTAATTGATTTTTACCCACAATTATTCTATGAATACGCAACGAATTCATTTCATGAGTGATCTTAATTTTGATTGGCTCACAAAGGAATTTACTGATGCTTGACTACCTCGACAGGACTTTTTTGCCTCTTTGTTGGTCAAGCTTAATTTCGGAAAATTTAATTATTTCAGTTAGTGAGGTAGGGGGGTAATACTTGCCCTGTTATTTTTATTTGTGACGGGCTATACGCTAGTATTTATATAATACTTCGAACGTTCACGAGAATTGGTTTGGATTCCACTTTTTTTAGATCATTTAGTTTATGCATATACCTAACCTGATGTAGAAATTTCGAAGTTCTTGGCGCGTGTTAAAAACATCAAAGTTAGAAAATTGTGACCATAATTTGTATGTTTTGATGGGCGCCCGCAGGATGAGGCACTTGCCCCTACTTTTCACAAAAAAATTCAGTATTATGATGTAAACGTAACATCATTGTTAAACTAAATATTTTTAGTAATTTTTATTGAAATTGTAAATTTGTGTTTGCGTATAAACACACATAACACATATTCTTTTAGTCTTTTGAATTACAATGTAAAAGCTGATCTCCTACATACATGTTTAGCCCTCCTTGAAAATATTTCTGTGGGTGCCCATGTATGTTTTTATTAGGTTTTCGAGAAGTTTTTCAGTTTTATTATTACTTTTTTTGGATAAAACGTCTTTCTTTCTTTCTTTAAACCAAACGCATTACCATTAGTCTTAACTGATGATGGTACTTGAAATCCATTTTTAGGTTTAAATTTTGTAATCATAAACTTTAGGCCTATTGGATTTCGGTACTTCATCTTCTTTCGGTGTTTAAATCGTAATATTTAGGTTATATGACGTAATTAGAAAAATACGTTCAGGTACGTGTGAAATATCGATGGATTTGTGGTTGTTACGTATCTGCTTGTTTGTTAATTTCCCGTTAGAAATTCTTTCCGAGAAATTTCATCGATACAAGTCC